GCGAGGGAGGGGGTGGGGGGCCCTGGGGGCCGTGTGTTCCGATTCATGGGGAGTGTTGAGACCACCACACCAATAAACGCCTTTTTCCAAAGTCTCTGCCTGCAGGTGTCAGCGTCATTAAGGACTGTCATCTAGTGGTCAACGTCATTCCTACACCGCCACTCTCTTGGGTAGATTTGGCCTTGACCCATTACAGAGGTGGCTCCTGATTGGCTGGAGCCACGGGGATCCCGCCGTGATTGGCTCAGAGATGGGCACGTGACCCAGGAAGGCCATTAAACAAGGGGGTGGATTCACAAGAAGAAATGCTTTTCCACTGGATCGCGTGGCTCCTGGTGTGAGGTCTAGATCTGTAAGGTGGCTTTTCTCCATGGCGTGGAGAGATCTTGGATGTGGGGGACAGCAGTAATGGGGGTGGCCTGTGGAGCCTGAAACACCGTGAGATGCAGAGTGGAAGGTCTAGAGAAACTGAGCCCATGATGACATCATTTGAGCAAAGTGATCAAAACTTACCAGATGCCCACCTTAACTTACATAAGCAATGGAGTCCCTCATATATTTAAGCCAATTTGTGTTAAGGTTAGGTTTTCTTTTCTTTCTTTCTTTCTTTTTTTTTTTTTTTTTTTTGAGTCAGGGGTCTCACTCTGTGCTCTGGTTGGAGTGCACTGGCACAATCACAGCTCACAGCAGCCTCAACCTCCCGGACTCAGGTAATCCTTCCACCTCAGCCTCCCGAGTAGCTGGGACTACAGGTGCAGGCCACCATGCCTGGCCAATTTTTAAAAAATTTTGTAGAGACAAAGTCAGTCATGTTATGTTGCCCAGGCTGGTCTTGAACTGCAGGGCTCAAGCAATCCTCCCACTTTAGCCTCCCAAAGTGCTGAGATTATGGGTATGAGCCACCGTGTTTGGCTTGTGTTAGGTTTTCTCTCTCCAATGACAAAAAAGAAAATGAAGGCCAGGCGCAGTGGCTCACGCCTATATTCCCAGCTCTTTGGGAGGCCGAGGCGAGAGGATTGCCTGAGCCTAGGTGTCCGAGACCAGCCTGGACAACTTGGTAAGACCTCATCTCTACAATAAATCAAAAAATTAACCGGGCGTGGTGGCACATGCCTGTAGTTCCAGCTACTTGGCAGGCTGAGGTGGAAGGATCACCTGAGCCCAGCAGGTCGAGGCTGCGGTGGCCATGAGAGTGCCACTGTACTCCAGCCTGGGTGAGAGTGAGACTCCAACCCCAAAAAATAAAATAAAAAAGAAAATAAAAACACTAACTAATATCAAAGAGATATAGAGGGCCCAGGTACCCAGGACCCCTTCCCTCACCTTTCCAAAAGGGTCCAGGGGTTGTTTTTCCCAGGGGTCCTTTCCTCCCCAAACCATTAACTAGAAGTTCTCATATCCTTTCCTTTCCTGAAACAGATACTGGCTGCCTATACTTTAACTGTTTGCTACCCTTTCTTTGCTGACAGACTCACCTGCTGTGATACAGGCTAGATATTTGGTTTCCCAGCTTCCTCTGCAGCTATGTGGCCAGTTTTGGACAAAGAAACATAAAGGGAAGTTTGCTGGTAGTCTTCCACTCATGAGAGGAAGGATGGCAAGGAGAAAGGGAAGAAGGGATGGGGAGAAGTGTGGAAAGTGAGTCCTGTCCCCTTCCTTTTGTCTTTGGATACAGTAGTGTGGAGATGTGATGACTGGAGTCACAGCAGCCATCTTGCTACATCAGGCAACATTCCTAGAGACAATATGCCAGCCCACTGAGGGTGGCAGAGTGGAAGGATGCAAACGGCCCTGGTCCTTGATGGTGTCACTGAGTTGCTGAGTCAGTTTGAAACCACCCATCTTCCTATTTCTTGCCACCATTTTATTTTGTTACTAGCAGCCACAAGAAGTCTCACTGATGTACTCCTTAAACCCCCCGTTAGAAACCCAGCTGAAAAAGGAAGATGTGTGCTGACCCAAGCAGCAGGAAGCCTGACACTTTGCTGGCACCAAAACATATGATCAGTCAACAAATATTTATTGATCGCCTGCTGTGTGCCAGGCTCTGGATTAAGTGCTGAGATAATGGTGTGGTTTCCGCCATTGTGAAGCTTTCCGTTTAGAGAGGGAGTCTGAAGTTGCACAAGTGATTATGTATTTACATATGAGGAGGGATGAGATCAGGGACTTCACCCATGACCAAGGGAAGGGGAACGGAATGGTCTTCTAAGAGGGTGAGGGTTACCCTGAGACTTGAGAAATGAACAACATAGGCAAGAAAGAAGCATTCTATGCAGAGAAAGCTCTTGGGGCAAATGCTTAGAGATAAAATAAAGTATGGCAGACAAAGTCTGTGCTACTGGAGTCAAGGGGCAGGGAGTCTTGAAAGAGGAGGTCAGGGAGGCCGACAGAGGCCAAACTACAAGGCTTTGAAGGCCAAGATAGCTGAAGGGCAATGCACAGCCGTGGAAGGGTTTAAAGAGAAGAGGGGCCGAGTGTGGTGGCTCACTCCTGTAGTCTCAGCACTTTGGGAGGCCGAGGCTGGAGGAGTACTTGAGCCCAGGAGTGCGAGATCAGCCTGGGTAACATAGCGAGACTTCATCTCTACAAAAAAAATCAAAAAATTAGCCGGGTGTGATGGTGTGCGCCTATAGTCCCAGACACTCAGGAAGCTTAGGTGGAAGGATCACCTGAGTTCCGGAGGTCGAGTCTGTGATGATCTGTGATCATGTCACTGCACTCCAGCCTGGGCAACAGAGTGAGACCCAACTCAAAATGGAGGGGGGACGTGATCTGACCTGATTTGTGTTAAGATGAAGATACCAGCAACGTGAATGTAGGGAGACCTTTTCAGGCCAGGTTCCCTCTCTAGCTGGGAGAACACAGCAAGCCCCGACTGTCTGCTGCAGAGCCTTGTGGGTTGTGTGAACCGCACTGTGAGGTCAGCAGGAAGTTCTCCCATCCCAGGAGTCACATCTCCTTAATTGCATAAATGCAGGTAAAATCTTTTGCGATGAAAGAGGGAGAAAGAAAGTCCCACTTTCAGGGTCCAACCCTCAGTCACAGCAGGCCCTGCTTGCTGCTGGAGTGAAACAGAGAGTTCTGCCCCAAAATGTCCTGTGCAGGGCAGGCCACTGACTCTGATTACACCTGCGTAGCTGCCCGAACAGTTTTGGGGCCTCCACCTGGAGAGACGACTGGACTGGGGCCTGTAGCCTGGAAGAGACAGATGGGGTGGGGACAAACTCAGGAGGTACTCTAGGTGTGTCTTGACTGAGCCTCCTAACCCTTTCCAGCACTTGCTCGAATCTTCTGGAAATTACCCGGGCCCCCTCTGTTGGCAAGGAAAAAACAAATGTCTGGCTATCCTGGGGGATGCTAAGCCGTACAATAACCCAAGTTTTATGGGGAAACGAGGAAATTCCATCCCACCTCGGAGAGAAAAATGGAAGACTAGTCCCATTTTTATAGAAAAGAAAAAGGGAGGAGAAACTGGAATCCACTCTTTTTTTTTTTTTTTTG